GAAAGCAACATTTTGCAAAAGCCTTTCCAGGATCTTCTCTGGCAGGATTAGTACTGGCTTCTCTCAAAATCGAGAAAAATCCGCTTACGATGTTGTTTCAAGCAAATCAGACTTGAGATGCGATATAAAAGCGTTCCTTTAAAGCACCAGCCGAGATGTCACAACTATTTATTCTGCAAAGTTCCGGCGTTTTCGCTTTTGCTAGAGCCATGGATAAGGAGAAGATGACTTGAGACCTGGTGGTTTCCTACCTATCATAGGAGGTACTATAACAGCTATTGAAGGCTTTGATTTTCGCGAACTGGATGGTTTTATATAAATTAAAATCCATAGATCTTTACGTATGCACTTCGATAGACTTCATTTGTAGTACCAAGTTCAAACTGTTAATGTTCACACTAACAGGCAATATCCAACAATGTGGTTCTACTACTTCACTTGCCTATCTTTGACCAGTTGGGCAACGCACGCTAATGCGTGCACCACAGGCCCACTACCGCTTACCTACGAGGACCAATGTGAACAGTATCGGTTGACTTCCCATTTCATAACTCTTTCCTCTCCACGCTCACTTGAAAGTCACGCTCTCCGTCGTGCCTACGTGGCTTTTGGAAGGACGCACAAATGGGCTTACAGACACACACAAATTACCGCTTTATATCTAGAGGCAGTCAGACCACGACGGGCTTCCCTCCTTCTTATGATAGAGTTGTGATAAACGGCAAACAGCACACTGCTTCTTTGGAACGAATGATATTTTCCGGAACACGAAGTTCGATAGAGGAGCAATAGTGCATGCAAATGATATTCAAAACGTGCCTTTGCCTTTGATTAGCATTTGTCTGTCTCGATCTGTCCTGTTGATGTTAAAATAGGGCCGTTGAAGATTTAACTGGTAGGCATTCAAAGCTTTAAATGGTACTTAGAAATGTTGTAGAGTCATAATAATACCTTGTCAAATGCCTTTATAAATGTGGCTGCTTTTCTCTACGGATACATCATTAAATGAGAATCCGAGATTGCTAGCGGTCGGATGAGTTTTGCTATGAATTATATCAAAGCAGAGAGAAACCCTGATCCTTCACTGAATCGTGAACTCCGCTGAGTAGCGGTCGTAAGCAACGAAGGAACCAAATTTCATAATCGGTCCCTATCAGTGCACTTACCCTTCTTGTCGAATGAATTATATCAAAGAATCAAAGCTAAATCGTAAATAACAAAGGCGCTAGGATTCAATTGTTGATCGGAACTTGTTCTCTAAGGCTTCCTCTATCGTCTGTGTTCCCATCATGCCCCCTCTACTCCTATTGATTTTGATCTCCAATTCAACGGGATCAGGATTTATGGATTTTCGCTCAGATGTTTATTCCGCACAAACCCCGCCCCCAGTGGGCGGAGTACTGCCACCCACCATATGTGTTCCCACCCTACCTTGGGTACTTCTACCAAACTTGAACTTTCTGGGTTCACAGGGACAGGAGTTATGATTTTCCGCTGGAACATTTTGTTTGCGCAGACCCCGCCCCCTGTGGGCGGAGCCCGGTCCTGCCACTCACCACATGTGTTTACATCCTGCCGCCTGCGTTCCTACCAAATTAAAAGGTCCTAGGTCCACGGTGACAGAAGTTATGAATTTCCGTACAAACAGACAAACAGACAGACGGACGGACAGACGGACGGATGGACGGACGGACAGACAGACAGACGCGAGCGCTTTATATAAAGTAAGGATGACAAGGGAGATCATAACATGAGATTACTGACCACTACTCATGGTGCAGCAGACGACCATTTCAGCAAGAATGGCGTTCGTAAGGTGTCCTCTGTTGGGCATCAGAATACCGGAGGTTTGCCTCCAAACATTTCTTGGATAACAGGAGCTCTCAACAGGTGATATGATTGTTCACATTGAACTATTAGGTTGAGCCATGAGTCCTCGAAAAAAGTGATAGTCATGGCTTCTAGTGGTCATAACTTGGGAAAGAAGTGACGGACTTGAACGCGCGTGGCATCATTAGACAGAGTATGAAAGGCGTTTCTAAATGCATACATATTAACGAACGCACCTAACCGTTTCCTTCTCTGCAACCATGCCCCATGATTTCAAGCTTTCGCAACTCCATCTCGCAACATCATCATATTTCTTTTTATATCTGGCCAAGAACCCGCGGAGATCGATAGATGTAAGAAGGAAGTTCAAAAAGGTTGCCCCTGCTAGATGCACAATTTGCAAGTGGCACCGAAGTTCACGTCGGATGACTATTCCATCGGAGGTCTCTCAATGGAGTTGGATTTGGACGTGCAGCGGAGCCAGGTGAAAGCCGATCTGTATCAAGTTACTCGTGAACTGGCAGCCACCCTTGGGAAGTTAGCCGAAAATCATTCGTAGATTGAAGTCAATCGGCAAGGTGCGAAAGCTTGGTCGATGGGTGCCTCATGCTTTGAAGCAGTATGACATAGACTGCCGCGCCGACATGGCACTTTCTCTCCTCACTCTCAAGCGCAGGAAACGGTCAGATGTATTCGTTGGAATGTAGCGAAAAAACTTTTTATACTCTATCTAATGATGCCTCGTGCGCCCATTTTCGTCATCTCTTTGCTGAGTTGTGATCTCTAGAAGTCATCACTATCACACTGTCCGAGAAGTTATGACTCAACCTAATATATATGTTGCCTACTCACTAAACTGAGGACAGTGAGGCAGAAGTACGGATCCTAATAAGTGCGTTTCTATAAATAAAGAAGTAATTCTACAATGCATAGCCTTCTATGCACCCACAGTGGTAGCAGCTGGACACATGAAATATTGGAAGAATGCACGATGCGATTAGCAAAACTCTGTGAAGCAAAAACTTACCCAACGGTACTTATTAAGGCAACATTTGTGGGTGGGAGGCCAGTGGCGAGTCCGAGAGTCGAGAATTTTCTGTTTTCCTTATCATATGGTGTGAAAAAAAATCTGGCTCCATTCACAAAGTACCTTAATACACAAGCACAGGTTGAACGATAGTTGAACATTTCCGTTATCTTGTTGCTGATACAATGTATTCAATTTACCCCTTTCTTGAGAGGTTTGACTTTGGTACAATCGACGTTAGGTATGGTAACAAAGACTACTAAATAAGGTGCAGAACGACAATACCTACTACATGTCCATGTAGCGCAGCTGCACACTGTGTAGTTGGGGATCACCCAAGTCAGTCTTTCACATCGACACTCCTTTTAATGAGTACCGGAAAACGGCATGTAATCCAAAACTTTGGGAGTGTTCTACAGGCTTCAAACAGAACGAGAATAAAACTCAACGTCTTCTGTGCCTGATCACAAATCATCTATAGAAAAAACCTCAAAAAACATTTTCAACATGAACTGTACCCTTAACTGTGTGGTCACTTCCGCGCACACTTGTGTTTTTGACAACGAGCTCAGTTAGGATCTCTTGTCATGTTTTCAACTAAAAGTGAACTTTACTATGTCATTTGTGACTCCATTGAATAGGGTTATCGGTTCTGTCCGGTCAGCTAGGGTGGACCTGATAGGATATAGGCCATTGCGTACAATTGAGTTCGAGCAATGCAACATATCCCTATACTCATAAAAATTTTGTTGTATTCGAGCGTTTTTTGAGAATTTTTGAGAAATGCTACAGATTTGAATTATTTCGAGTCAAAATTTAATTTTTTACGTACTCACTGCCTGTGAAACTATGCTGTCTGGCTTGGTGTCCAGATCCAGCAGGTGGAAAACAAGTGATTGCCTTATTTCCTTGATTCAGGGAGAAGTTTTCGGAGTTAGACTAGTAATTGATCTTCTGTTTGTGATTGCCAGACTAACTGTGGAAAGATAGCGTAGAAGGGAGTTGGTTCCAACGGCCGATGCACCAACATGGTAAACCAATACACTTTACACGTGCAGTCGATGCAATCGTGCCGCGCCAACAGCATTGCTGAGGTTATCTACTTGATAGCACGCTTGAGATACCGTTAAGTTATGCCTTCGGTATCGTCCCGAGAGGTACTTATCGAAGGTATTGCCTAAGGTAATTAGCTAGATTAGTTGTGAACCCACAGCACAGGTAAAAATCATCTCAGCTCTTTGCACGAGTGATCCCCTCCACTAAAGCGCTTGCCCCCTCCTCGAGCTCAGGTAAAAACTATACACTTCAGCTCAGAGCCACTGAAAGCACAGGTAAGTTGGCTACCCCTTCTTCTCTGCACTCAAGCTTTCAGTGATGAACAAAGCGAGCAATACGACCCTCCTCCATACATTTCACACCACTTCGTGGAAGCGAGCAATGAGGCCCGGTGTAAGTCGGGCGACCCGACTGCTTTATTTATGATATATTTATTGAATTCATCAAATGTGAACGGCAACAAGGTACTGCCAGTAATTTTTAGGTTCCTGAGTAACATCATTTACTTCCCACTTCACTTTATCTTCACCTTTGTCCGAGTCCTGAAGTTCTGACAGATAGACCGATATACAAACGGGCAGACGCAACAAGTTACTTCTTCTTATAATACAGGGATAATAAGAATATCAGTTTTGAACCTGTATTCACATTTCACCCTCCTGCGTGTGACATTGAAAACGAAAATACTTCTCTGTTGAGGAATCGTGTCAGAGCAACAAAACTAATGTTATGGTTGAAAGGAGAAATCAGAGATGTCGATTGAACTGCTTGAAGCATTATATGTAGTGGGTCGGACCCTTTGAGCTTGTCATGCCCAAGAACTCAAAATCGAAGTTCTGTGAATAGCGAGGCATCATAACCAGTGTCATGAATCCGATGCGAAAGTGCAAGTGAGCAATGGGCCTCTCATAGAGGAGGTTCCAGTATCAACGCTTGTAAGCTAAGAAGAACCGGGTGAATCTGTACAAATCAAAATTAATCAAGGTTCCGAGCTATTCATTTCTTAATTTTGTAAAGTATGTGGTTATACAATCATAAGAAAATGCTGTCTTGAAGATCTTCCATTTAGTATTTCCTTTCTTCCCTTCAGTTATTGCCATGGGTGGGGGAGTCATCCTCGCCCTCCTCCTAAAAAGGAATAGCACTGAAGAAAACTTCTAGTTCGAACAACAAGTTACTATTACTCACAGCTTCTTTGGACAGTACACGCCATCTATCCATAGCCAAGGGCGGAATTGCATTGCCATTGCTTCTTTTTGGTGGCGGCATCTCAAATCGTAAAGTAGCGGCAGCGGAAGCCATGATGTAAAACTCTTTCTGTGCCCTTTCAACTGATGTACCTTGACTGATCGCCGACTGAGAGCGCCAAAAATTTGTGATTCTTGCTAGTACCACGACTAGGCAATAATTTACCACTAGGTACGAGAGTGGTGTGACCACTAGAACATGTTACGATTCTATCATTTAGTCATTTGGTCTCTATTAAGAGTCCTATCGCCGAATACCGTGCCCTTCTAAACACTTGAGGTTCGACTCAAAGCCTGCAAGAGGAATTCACCTTAGAGCTACCGATACGGCTGCTGAGCGACTTGTCTGGGGCCCATATGTACATATATGGAGGTAAGCCTGCATCTGCCTGTCACCACCTTTATACTGTTCCTCGTAGCAGCTCGAAATTGCGACTCACCTGCCTTAATGGTTCAAAATATTCATGCTTGAGTACTTCAGCTGCCGTTTTTCGCTTGGTTGGATCGTAAACAAGAACATCTCGTAACAAAGAAAGTGCTGTCGCATCGAAATCAGCACCGACGTACTGTTCATAGGAGTAGCACTATTAGTTGAGGTCATGAACTTTCTGTGTATACATACTTTGTCTAACCCTCGTCCAGTACTTCTGTGCACCCGCGGACGACTTGATGCCATCGCTTTCACCTCTTCAGCAGTGGGATAGCCAAGGACACTCACAATAATTTTCACCTGAATTTTACGTAAAACTCATCTTGTACGAGCGCGCAGATGCACAAAGGCCACTCTCTGCCCGACAGCAGCACTGTCGTAAATCGGTCCTGTGTTCATTGGAATCAATGGAAAAGCTTCTCGCGCAAAATAATTCGTTAACGGACTTGATCTTCAGAATTTCGTCCTTTGAATAAGGGCCGTGTTGTTATAAAGTCGTAAGTAACACAGGCAGCCGACCATACATCTGAAAAGCAGTGAGGAATGAATCGAATCGAAGGATTGTCATGCGTACAACTACCTATAGCGGGGGTTAAGATAGTGCTCCCAAACAGTAGCTCTGGTGGTCGATAATACCTAGTGACCTGAAATAAGTGTATGTATTATTCCAAGGAGCTGTACATGTGGTTTGATCTTTCTTGACAGATTCATTTTTAACAATGCAAATGTTGGTGTAATGCAGCCTCGCTAGGAAACGCATCCCTGCCGCACAAAATCATTCACGGCTACTTTAATTCCGAATTCCGCCGAGCTTCCAGCTTTCTACTCGCGACGGTATCGGGACGCCGGCTAACCCGCCATCCCTGTTTTTCAAACAACTGATGCGATTCCGGTCAAAAAATTCTCTATAGTGTCATCTCAGAACTAGGCCGACATACAAATTTGGCATAGAGCACGAAAGGAGACGTGGGGCTTAGACAGAAATGGGAGTGGCATTCAATACTTGATGACGCTTTTGGATGTAAGGAATAAGAATTGCCTTCTTCTCTTATCCTGACAATGATAATTCATCCAATATTTAGTCATTCGCTGAACTGAGCCCACTGGCGCAGCGACATTTCTATAACTGAACAGCCTGACGGGTCAACCGAAGTCTGAGAAGTTCTTATTAAGGTTGCCGAGTGCTCAACATATACTTGCAGAAGTCGTTGCCCGCGACTCTTCTAATCTTCAAACTATAAACTATCTTTCTTATTTATAGAGCAGAAACTTGGTATGTCGGTTCGTGTGGTTGTCGGAAAGCCGGTTTGTATGTAGGTTTGTCGGTGAGTATGTGTCACTCGTGCGTCCGAGAATGCGCGCGGCAAATTGCGCGGAGAAGTTCGCAGCGATTTGAACGACTTTAGCGCCTATCATTGGGGCCCAAATTTGAAGTAGAGTAGATTAGAAGGATAATCTGACCCTGCTAAACTAGTCTACTTCGATATTTGTCCCGAAAATTGGCGTCAGATTGATTTGAATATTATGCCATAACCTGCTATGTTATGAATGCTGCTCGGTAGACGACAATTGCTGAGAGATTTCCTTCTGAGAGAAGTGACAGGGGATATAAACAGCGAGTATCGAATGATGACCCTCACCTGATACGACGATGTACCGACAGTACCGAAATGCACGGCGTTTCCGAAGTCTGCCAACTTCAAAACTCCTTCCTGAACAATGGTTTCGCGATCGCATTCAAGCCATAAATGGAGAAAGCATTCAATGAAGTTTACCGCGTGGTTAAGGACTAGATTGGAGGGTTTTATATCCAGGTGAATAATTTTACAGTTACAGAGGCAGTTCACAGCCGAAAATAGCTGATACGAGTATAACTGGAATAGAGAATAGGCAAGTAAACCTCATTAAAGTTCTTGATGAGACCGGCTTTGTCCTAGACGAAAGAACCAATCCTGAGCTTCGATTTGGACCAAACAAAAAAACTTCGTGGGCCGAGAGCTTGCTCGAAGCTATTAAGAGAACGCAAACGTTTTGACTGATGGGATTTTTGCTCCGATTGGAAACATCTCGTTAGAACGTTGATAAAATATGTAAAATGAAGCTGAAAAGGATAAAAAAATTAGAAAACTTTTTCTTCAACCAGTTGGGCTACGCACGCTAATGCGTGCACCACATGCCCACCAGTATCAGATGTCGTTATCTTGGACCTTCTTTCCTCCATTGTACATCGCTAGCTGAGAATCCCAAATTATTGGCGGTCGAACGAACTTCGACGAAATGATATCAAAACATAAAGTAACCTTGACCTTCCACCGAGTTACAAACTTTGCTGGGTAGCGGTCGTAATCTATATTACAGTCGTAATCATAAATACATTGTAAATACCACAGGAGTTAAATTCAGTTGATAAGCGCTGTTATCAGTCGTTATCAGCTGTTATCAGTTCCTATCATGATCGCCTACGATCCCGCCATACTCTACAACACATGCCAAACTGTCAAGGCTCCACTATTAATGCCGTCATTATGGTGGCTCTACGCTTTGCAGGATTTTCATCAGCCCTTGTCAATTTATAAGCCACTGGCTTGGCACCAACCATTCTCGATCCCGTCACCGAGTAAGATCCTGTTACATCTTACATAACCTATTAAAATTCCAATATTCCATTATTAACAGAAAGTGCGTTACATACCTAGTTGTTCTCACCTTCTATGGCTTCTTATCAGTCCCTATCACTTGGTATCGTTCCCTGTCACCAACCATTAACGGTCCCTTCACATTCTACATCACCTGCCAAAGTGCCAAGGCTTCATCGCTAATACGAGGGGAGTTACGGACGCTGTGGCTTATCCCTTTTAAGGCTCCGCATCTGTTTCTATCGATTGTTATCACTTCCAATCGCTTACCATCGCTACTCCCATCGTGCCGCCTATCTCACTTTGAAATTTGAATGCTTTAGCTACAATGGAGCGGGAGTTATGAATTTCAGGTCGGACAAACACACACATACACACTCACACACAAACACACCAACAGACACACTTAGCCGATTATATAAGTAGGATGTGAGCAGCCAGATAGAAACAAACATATAGTACCGTGGTACCGTCCTGGAGTTGGGAGCTGGTTGTAATATCTTCTCGGTGATAGTGAACTTGGAACCTGCGTTTTTCCAAATGTGGAAGTTGTGGCCCGAGAGAACAGGAGTTATTAATATCCAGCCTATTTACACCCAAATTACCACGTCCCTCCTCTGAGAGGGGAGTCCTAGTCATGCCTGCTCCCATCAGCACTCCCGTACTGCCGTCTGTATCCATATCAAACGCAAACGTTCTAGATCCCAACATTGGTGCATGCCTCGCCCACGTGAGCGGAGCCCTAACGTGCCTACCCCTATCATCATTACTATACTGCTGCCTGTGCCCAGACCAAATTTGAATGCCTTATGTCTACATCTTCACGCATGCATAGCCCCCTGTGAGCGGAGTGGTGGAGCCAGTATTTCTACCTAATATAGTATTTCCAGGAAATCTTGTTCCCGCGAATGCAAACCTCACTTCGGTATCATCTAACCAGCAAATGTACCTGAGCATCGAGTGTATCAAATCGGATGCCTTTTTCGCGTAATTTCTGCACGTCGTCGGGCAAATAGTCTAGTACCAAACAGTGAATGACCTGAAATGTGCCATTGCGGAATTGAAAAATGGAGGAATCACTTCTCATTACAGCACGCGATTGTGGAAGTCAAGGTGAGATGATTACGCATTAGGTGAAACGCTAGCAGCAGTTGGTAACATTTCACCTCGAGCACGGGGCTCGGATAAAACACTTTAATTTCATGACAAGTACATACTCTATTCACGTCACACTCAGACTCGTAGCTCTGATGGAAATGTTTTTTAGCCCACCTTGCTTTAACCTTTACTGTTAAAGTTGGAACGTAGGCTATATTACGAAATACAGCGTGCGCCATAAATATGGTAACAAAAGATTTGGGCTACAGAAACCGCAGCTCATATTGATACGTGGCGAATTCATGTGTGTTATTCACTATGCATCACATCTACAAAACGGTCATCCTGAATAAGCGTTTCCTGTACTAATTATAGATCAAAGACGAGATCAGTTGGATTGGTCGACAGTTGACGGGAGTTCTGTGTCAATTGGAATATAATGAGTTGGGCCTCCCCGATGACCAACAACCTCAGCGTGGTGGGGAGGTAAAACGCGCGGGGTGTGGGCGTGTCTGCTTCAATCATTCTGAATTTATGTAATAAAAATAACTCTCTTCTTTTTTATTAGATTCTAGTAGTTTATCATGAGCTCTGTTGCAAAGATCCGGTAACTTCCAACCATGTATGTTTGTATTGACCTGCTTACGGCTTCAAGCTGTACTCAGGTAGTGAATATGCGCGAGAGTAGCCTCTTCTTTGAGCCCCTTATCCGTCCAAGACGCAACCTGGTGCTCTACTGCTTTCGCCTTTACCATCGAATGACGGCTTTGTGGTTCGCGAGCTCTCGCCAACGTTTTCTGCTGCTCGACGGAATTTCACGTTGAAGACTTCATTATCTCTTCTTATTATTTATACGAATAAATAAATATATATACATAATATCACCGGCACGTCTGCATGCATCTTTAAGAGAAAGTCCCTCTTGTGTTAGAACCTGGGTATCCATATGCCAAAACAGTAATGAAAATGGGTCTCATTCTCGTGACCTTGAGGGCGCACAGTGCAGCAGCATGGGTAAAGCCGCTCGGGAGAGGTAGCTAAACTTCAGGGCCATGATAGGCCGCCTGAAAGGAAAAGGAGAAGAATGGCGATCTGTACTTTCAGTGCATGAACGCTTGCTTCAGAAGCGTGTATCGAAGATATGATGATGCAAGCAGACGTCGTCTCAGAATGACCGAGACGACGGGACACGGGGGGGGGGGGGGGTGGCGCGATTCACGCGTGACCCCATTAGAGCTTCTCGCGCTCGCAGCATCTCTTCAGTGATGTTCTGTTGAGATGGACCAAATAAGATTAGCAGTAGTCCACAGCTTCGCCATAAATTAGAGCAAATCTCTTTACTATGGCAATGAAGCCCCTCCGAGATAAAAATTTACTTCATGTGTCAACAATTTACCTGTCAAAGGTATAAAATAAGAATGACTTCAAAATTTTGATCCTAGAAAACGCAACCCCTCTGTAAACGTGCATAGCGGGTCATTTTCACTTATGTTTTATAGGTTCTTATTTCTCCCATTATAATGGTAGGCATAATGTTATAGCGCGTCTCGTCCGATGCCCCCATAATCGCACTACACACCAAGACACCCCCGTTGCACGCTATTTTCGAACAGGCGAGGATTGTTCCAGCTTTTTAGCTCATCCAACTTCGACGCCGCACCTTCGTTCTGCTCAATTCCGTGCACTGGAGCTAGATGATTGACTTTATTTTGACTTTTCGACCTATTTCCATAGATACACATAGCTAGAGCATTCGATTCGATCAAGAGACACGATGTCATCTGCAAAGTAAAGATTACGTAAAAACGTCCTTCGACCTTCACTCTCTTCGCAAACTTTGCATTTCTTGTGACGCCTGATGTCCTCAACAGCGGCACTGAGAGGTTGCGAAGTGGTGTCGCTCTATCGATTCCCTGTTTTCACGATGGCAGTGACTTCCTTACAGAATGGCTAAATCCTGGTCGTTAATTTCTTGTAGTGCTCACTAAGCATTCTTATGTGAGATTTTCTCGAAAAGGGAGGGCTAGGGCTTAATGAACAGGACGGGCTATGCTCTTTGCCCGAAGCGACTCCGAACGAAACGATTCTCTCTCTAGCAACCACACTCGGCTGTCCCAAACATTTGGTGAGCAGTGAGTCATCGTTTCCTCGAAAAAGTTTTGAAATTCGACAATTGGATTCCTCATAAATTGTCCCGAAGGGGCCTTATTGGACATGCTCATCGAAAGAGATGAGAAGTGGTGCATATACATAACTCACAAGCGGAAGCATTAGTAGTCAGACCAGTCGTATCTTCCTATATCACTTCTCTGCATAGTTCCCTAAGTTCAGACGGTTCTTGATGGTTGCGTGTAGGTCGTGATTCCATGCTTGTGTATCAGCTGTAGATCTTCAATGAGAGATTCTCTTGATTTCATGTCGACTCTCAGCTTTCTTAGGTTTATCGTGGAGATGTTCAGTGAGCCGTTACATTCCTCATCTATTTTGTCGATACCAGAATATTCCCACTTCGCGAGGGAAGCGGAGTCGTATCGGCCTCGGAGCTTCGTTTCCTAGATATAGCAACTCTCTCGTTCTACGCAAAAAAAANAAAAAAAAACAGAATCTAAATTCGTGATGAACATGATGAACTTAGACGAGTTACCTGTTCATTCCACTCCAATCAGTGAATCCACATTTTGGAATTGTTTATATCTATTATTTATCTATATACTTTGTTAGCAGGAAGGTACCCACAAATACCAGGCTTTGACGTGGAGCCTGGTTAGATCCCTGCTAGCTGGCCAAGCCGTTCCAGAGTGAGTATTCGATGTTAAAGGCTGCTCCGAATTGCCTTTCGGATGCTTCTCAGCCACTTAAATGCAAGCTTTTAGCTGAGTCGATGTGGAAGGAACAAACCGCACACGTCCCTACCCAAACACGTATGCATGGATACAGGGGTTTTCTCAGGTTAAGTTGTGCGACGTGGGGTCGAGAGCTGTCGTGGAGTAGAAATGGCCCCTCCCTATTCACCAGTGCCGAGCTCATGAGCTGAAGTTTTCGATGCATTTCGTCAATTTCTTTACAGTACTTTTCGGCTGTTACGATTCCACCCGGATCCATGAAGCTGTGGTGAATCAGCCTGGCTTCAGACTACCAAACCAGCACCATGACCTCTTTTCCATGCTGCTTCGGCTTGGGAAAATGCCGTGGGGCTTGGTCCTTGTCCAGCCACTGGCCTGATTGTCGCCGGTTATCGTTCAGAATCCAATTCTCATCGCACGTCACAATACGGTCTAAAAATGGATCGTTCCTGTTGCGCGGAAGCAAGGCGGAGGCGAGCTCGAAGCGGCGGTCGTTCTGGTGCTGAGTCAGCTCATGCGGCACCCACTTAACAAGCTTCTTCAACTTCCGGATCTTTTGCATGTGGGTGCCAACCGTCCTGCTGGAAACATTCGATCTCGAGCCAATATCCTTCAGCGTTGTACGTGGATTCTCTTCCACTAACGTTCTCAATTGTTCATTGTCAACGGCCGATGGCCGCCCACTACGCTCATCATCTTCCAGGCTCTCATGGCCGGTACGAAATTTTTTAAACCACCACTGTGCTGTGCGTTGATTCGTCTTATCTAGACCAAAGGCGTCGTTGATAGCCCGAGCCGTTTCCGTCGCACTCCTGCTCAATTCGAATTGGAAAAGAAAAATCGTGCGGATCTGTCGTTTGTCCATGATGATTTCCACCTTCTAAAAAGCCCAGCATCAATCAGAACAAAACCGATTATATATTTGGATAGCGCAAGAAATGTTAGAATGTTACAGAACTTTCAACAATCTAATAGCAAATAACACCGCGGCGAGCATTTGAAAATTGGGCATCAAAACGCATGAACTTTCTTCAGTACATACTAGTTTGCTGTACACGAACTTTGACACAGGACTAATAAGGCAGTGAAAATGGTATCCAGTGAAAGTCGGTGCTTACGCCTTTTACTGGAAATGCCCATATTCGGCTCTTTTTCTTGAAAATACATAACCACCAACGAATCACAGCTGGACAGCCTTGGGCCATGCTAACAAATGTTTCAAGTGATGAAAACACCATTTTCAGATGTTGTCATCAATAGACCCTTCTCTTCACGGAGATATCACCCTACTTTATATAATTCGCTAAGTGTGCCTGTTGGTGTGTCGGTGTGTATGTGTATCGGTGTGTGTGTTTGACCATAAATTCATAACTCCTGTCCCATTGGACACAAAGCGTTCCAAATTGGTAGGAGTACAGGGGACAGCATGGAAACACTTATGGCAGGTGACAGGACCAGACTCCGCCTACCGGGGGCGGGAAGTGCGCGACAGAAATTTTATGTCACAAATTTATAACTCCTGTTCCCGTGGACTTGGAAAGGTTAAATTTGGCAGAAGTACAGGGGGCGGCATGGAAACACTTGTGGCAAGTAGCCAGATCGAACTCAAGCAGGGGGTGGGGCGTGCGCAACAGAAGTTTTAGGCTGTGCAACAATAGCTGTGCAAATTCACAGCTCCTGTTGCACAGCCTAAAACTTCCCACGTGGTCCCATCGCGTTGAAAGTTGGTAGGAGTACAGGAAGCAGGATAGGACTGGACACTGATGGTAGGTGATAAGCGGTGATAATAATTTAAAGGAGCTGATAAAGAGCCTTGAAGGGCGAGAACCACAGGAACCGTCACTTACTTCCTATTAACGGCACCGCTTTGGAATTTCGGAAAACTGTTAGAGACTGATAGAAACTGATAGGAGGCGAGAGCCAATAAGTCTAAACGTCTTTCATACTAACAACTGAGCATTCCAGTAGGTAGTGCAGGACGTGAAGGGACCGAAATTAAGTAAGAGGTTATAAGGACAGATAATAACAAGCGAGCAAGCGTTGCAATCCCCTTCGTGTCAACAGTGGAGCCTATTCAAAGACGGCAATGTAGGATGTGACGTTGTCGTAGGTACTCCGTGACAGGAACTGATAACAACTGATAAGAACTGATAAGGGGCCCTAGAGCGCAAAAGGGTATTTATGATCAAACACTGACTCTTTAATGCTGTAAATGTTGTAATAGCGACCGATCAAAGACATTTCTTCATAACAAAATGAGAATTTTGTTCATTTCTTGCTATTAAACTACTACCGTTACGCCGTAAGCTTTGTGACACCATGAAGTACCACGATTCCTTTTTGTTTTATAACATATCATTTGTGACTAGACTCATCTGACCGCTAATGATTTGGGATTCCCAATTAATGAAAAATCCGTGGAGAAAATGTTCCACTGATAACGACACCTGTGATAGGCGTTATTATCCATTGCTGGGAAACATTCAAGACATTCATTGTCAATCAGTTAAGTCATCAATGTGACACAATTTCGAGATGAAGAGCAAATAATACAGAAAAAATTGCTCCCAATTTGGAGCTAATGCTGAGGGTGTAGAGCTTCCAAGGAAAAAGGAGAATCCGAAGTGTTACTTACGCATAGCAAATTTCTTACAGGAAGGAAAAGCGCCCGGCGAAGCCGGACGTCACCGTAAGAAGGAGGGCAGCCCGGCGTTAGCGGCTCGACTGGTTAGTTGAGAATTCAAAACTACTGGTGGTCGGTTAAGTTGTGTTGCAAATTATATCGAACAAAGAGGATCCTACATCAAGTCACAAACCTTGCTGGGTAGCGATCTAACCTGATAGCATGAAATGCATAAAATCCTCATCTGCTTATCGAATTGCCGCTAATGGGTCCCTATCATTGCACTTACCACTCACTTTTGTCATCCGACTCTAGCATCTCGTCTTATCAAATGAAACATACCAAACAGTCAAAGTTACACGATACCGAAGATATCAGGAGTT